TGGTAGGATTTTTGTGCAAAAGACATGACTGGGTACTTACATTACTTACATCAAAATTATTTATTTTTAAAATTATCAATTGTGTCTTTTCGAAATACGGTATAATATTTCCAAATTATTATTAGTTTGGCTGAATTTCAAATAATTTATTATGCAAAATTTTAGACGTGAAAAGATGAAGTTCTAAAATATATATAAGCACATTAAAATTACATTCAAAGTACACATTTCAATACTAAACAAAAACTTTTAAGTTTCGAACATAATAAACCAACATATACGGGACTATTATAACTTTGTTTTATAAATTAATAATTTCAAAATTCATTGATTACTATTAGTGGGTAATACAACTCCAGATATATTTCGTCTTAGGCGAGCGCCAAATCTTATATCCTTTTCTCTCCGAATGTTGTCTCGCTTTCATACTACTATGTCCCGGCAACACAACGATGTGTGCTTGTTTTAATAGAGCAATTAAAAATTTAATTATTTTATCTTCCTGTAAACGAGGAAAATTGAATTTCTATATTCATGCTAAAATTGCAATCTTTAATAATCGTAAATAACCAAATTAATGATAAAAGTAGTAGAATTAACTAAGTTAATAATAATAATTTCCATTTTTACGCGATTTATTCTTAGTCATTTCCAGATTCTTAAATATACTACAATTTAATTTCTACTTTCAATTAATTTCGATCTGTTTAGACGCAATTAAACACTGTAGTAATTACCAATTCTGATCAACTTTTTTTATCATTCTTGCTTCTAAAGTGCAGAGCTACTTGGCTAATTTGTAAATTTCGCGTTAATATAATATTTAATATCCATTATTGCAATTTCAAAAAAAATTATTTAGTTTTCGATGTTGGAAACTTACAGAATAGAATGTCGTATGCTTGTTTTAATATTAAAACAATTAGAAATTTGTTTTAAAAATAAAGACAAGATTTTTGAACAAATTAAATAGGTACGTAAATTGCTATTTGTTTTAAAGAAAGTTGTTTTCACTATAGTTTTTCCTACAACTTTTTATTTACTCCTCATTTTGCAACTTTATGAATTGTAGTAAACTAAATTTCAAAAGGCAAGTCTAAAAAAAATTTTTGTATTCCATCATTAAGGGGTCAGCGTGATGTTAATGAAACTAATTTATGAACTAAGCAGTTGGCCTGAGGGTGCAGATTTGGGTTGAAGGTGCAATTTGTAATTTTCCCTTGCCCCTGCACAAATGTCATAAAATGTATAACACGCACTTCCGTTATTTATGTCTATCAATCTCGAGGGGTAGTCGTCCTAAATTTATGGTTCAATTTATATTGCAATACTTTCTTATTATGCGTTTTTAATTAGACAGAGCTAGTTTACACTTTATTTTACGACAAAAAGAATAATATTGTTCCAACGATTATAATAAACTACTTAATTCGTTTCAATTGTTAGCTTATTACTTTACAAATTTTATATTAAACAAAGTGCTATTACAAAAGGACATCGTTTCTTACTAATTTAAACAAGTATTAATTTCATTTTAGTAATATCTTTCATTTAAAGAGAAGTTCTTAATGATATTACACATACTTATTTGATAAACGTAGATATTTAAATATAAAGGATAATT